ACCTTGTGTAGAAAGAAATAATTGTTTACATGTTTCAGGGAATGCTGCTGCTTGTATATGGAAACAAGGATCTTTTAAGGGGCTAGGACCCAACAAATCCAGTTTCTATGCATGCTTTATTAATATTTCAGCATCCCTGAGCATCATCACAACCTTCCATTAAAAAATAAATGTGATTTAGTTGTCCTGAGGGTTTAAGATAAGAACAGCTAGAATTCACATGCATCTTTGTTCAATCTTTCAGATTAAAGTACTTCCATTTTAAAATAAGCATTAAAGCTTACTGTACAAGTAGGCTGTGTTTAAGTTTTGTCAAGACTAAATAAAGGGAGAAGGACATCGCTGTTTCTATGTGGCACCTGATTGGAGAAGAGCAGGTTTTCATTTCCTGGATTGGCTTCATGAAGGGAAGTGTTAAAATAATCACATGATAAGTTGGCATGTGTACTTCAACAGTTATTTTCAGAAACTAATATCCTCTGAATAGTTTTGAAAACATGTAGTCAGGACAAAATCCTTTGTTATTGATCTAGAAAACAAAACTATACCACGATTATTCTTTTCCACCTCTAATTGAGCTTACTTCCTTTAAAACTTTTTCACTTAAAATATTAAAATATGAGGTATATGTGTATATAACTGCAGTAATTGGTCTGGCTTTCTAAAGCATATTATCTATAAGTTTGTTTCTTTGTGTTTATGTATTTGGTACAGGGTCTCACTATGCGGCTCAAAGTCATAGTAAACCTCCTTTTTCAGCCTCCCCAGTGCTGGGGTTACAGGCATTCGTCACCACGCCTGGACTTGGTCACTGGCTTAGCACTCTCAGGGGTGGAACCTAGGGTATGTGGTGCCAGGGATCAAACCCTGGCCGCTGTGCTTGCCTAAGTGGGTTCTTAGTCCACTGAGCTATTTTGGCAGCCCCTTATCTGTAATTTTGAAGGACATTTCTTTTTGAACTTCTTGGCCTTGAAAAGTTCTGAGTAGTCTTGAAATTGTATTGAGGGCATTCACTAAATGTGTTTCAGCTATCAGTTCAACTTGGTGTGGTTTTGCTGTTAATCCATTATGAAGTGGCAGAGGAAGAAAACTCATTACGTTGTAATATGAATACACATACTTGTCAAA